CAGCACCATGTGAAGATGGGGTCGGGTTTGTAATATCCGATCGCCTCCATAACCACAGGGTGGGTGAACCAACTGGCTTCAGCGCCCGACTGATGAACGTTGGCCTACGACTCGGAAGAGGTAAGGTTGCTATATTTATAAGCACTACAGACCGACCATGTGTTATCCTGATGACACGCGTGATCAATTCTACACTCAGTTATCCTCCGTGATACGATCTGTGCCGAGGAGCGACCGACTATTTCTGCTGAGTGATTTCAACGCGCGCATTGGGCGTGATGCATCGGGGTGGACAGATATTATCGGTCCGCATGGCATTGCTTCAGCAAATGCGAACGGTGACAGGCTGCTCTCACTGTTTGCCACTCACGGCCTGACGATCACGAACACTCGGTTTACACTGAGTGCGAGTGCTATAGCAACTTGGACGCACCCACGGAGTGGTCACGCTCACCTGGTCGACTATTTCATCGTACATCACAGTGTGACATGCGTGAAGTGCGCATGACATTTGTACTGCGTGAAGCTGAGTGTGGCACTGATTACAAATTGGTGCGGACCAAACTGTGCATTTATTTTCGTAAATCTATGTGTTGCACTTCAGCCGTGAACCGGCGTAAATGTAACATTCTGTCCCTGGGTGTTGTGGAGAAAAGCATTGAGCTAGAGAAGGCGACGACGGCACGCCTGTGTGATGTGGAATGCCTAACCACAGTGGGCGACCTGTGGCACCACATTCTGGATCAGGTGACAGCTGCTGCCGAGGAGACCATGTGGCGCACAAACTGTAAGCGGCCCGATTGGTTTGATGAGAACAATGCGACGATTGGCGCATTAGTGTCGGAGAAAAATGCAGCATTTGCTGTACATGTGGCAAACCCCAGTGATTTGGGGAAGAATAGTCAGTTTGGTGAAATTTGGCGGCGACTGACCAGAGATCTCCGTCACAGTAAAATGCATGGTGGACGTAGAAGGCGAAGCAGATGGAATGCTACGTCGAATGCTGTCAACAAAAGGAATTTTTTGACCCTTTGAAAGCGGTGTATGGACCGTGGTTGGAGCCGCTGAGGACGCTGCTAGATGGTAGTGCAGGCGCTACCTGACACAGACTGCAGAAAGGATGCATATGTGGCGAAATCACTCTGATCGTCAGTTGAACAATGGTCCCGAGATTGACTGGACTGTGTTGGAGGGGCTGCAACAAAAAAAGATGAAGACGTATCTTGCCGACACACCGACATTTGATGAGAGGCTGAGGGTACTTGCTCAGCTGCGAAACGGCAAGTGTGCCGGTGCCAACGGGATCCCGTCTAAAGTATTGAGGCACAGCGGACCTGTGTTGGTGAATGCGCTGCACTATCTGATGTAACGCGTGTAGGTGGATAAGAAGGTACCTCCTGAGTTGAGGGATGTGCTTGTGCTCCCAGTGCACAAGCGCAAAGGAAGCAAGCAATGTGCCACGAATTATCGTGGTATCAAATTGCTAAGCTGTGTGGGTGAGGTGATTGCCCGAATCCTACTCAACAGCCACGTCAGTCAGGTTGTGGAACCGAACCTGGCGGAAGAGCAATGTGGATTCCGTTCGGGTCCCAGCATCATCGATATGGTGTTTACGGCTCGTCAGGTGCAGAAGTGTAGAAAACGACACCAGCTCTTGTACTCGCTGTCTGCTGGTTTCACCAAGGCATTTGATACGGTGAACCGTGAGGCATTGTGGATGGTGTTGAGCAAGTTTGGTTGTCCGCATGTTTGTTAGTTTAATTGAATGTCCGTACAGTGGTATGCGGACGAGGGCACAGTTGAGTGGACAGATCTCGGATGACTTTGCAGTTGTCTCTGGTGTGAAGCATCTGCCGTGTTTAATATTTATCGTCATGCCATGATGTCGTGTGCGCTTGATGCGGCTTGTGCTTACGGTCTTCATGTGGAGCATCATTTGATGGTGGGTTGCTGAAGAACTGTCGTTTCGGTGCGTATATATATATATATATATATATATATATATATATATATATATATAATGTTTCGGTTGCCCTGAAACATTGTTAAACCTAGTAAAAGCCATATAGCCAGAAGTGATAGCGTCGGCGAGACGCTTGCTGACTGTCAGCCCGTAGCCTAGAAATAACGAGCTGGTCTCGTAATCTTGCGGTGCGGGTTCGAATCCGCGTACCGGTGGGCGTCCTCGCGGTATACTCAGCCCGCGTGCGACTGGTGGTGGTCGCACGGCAGCGAAGCACCGTTATGGCGTACACCTAACACATTATTATGATCGCTATTGTTATTATTATTATTACGCTTGCTGATTTACTCGACTCCTCACCAGATCTCAAGCGCGGTCATTCAAAAGAGCGTTGTAAGGATAAAGCAGTATGACTTTACGAATTGTGTCTACATTATGTCACCGAATCTGACAAAGGCAACAGCGGGACTGCCCTTCATCAACCGACCGTCTATAATGATGTTTTCACCCTTTATGCCATACTACTTTTATTTTAAAGTGAGGGTTTTCAAAATGTACTGTCGCGTTTTGCATGTAGGTATAAGGCGATAGAAGCTCCAGCTGATAGGACGAACATGGGATCTTGCTTAAATCGTCCGGCATGTCAGTACTGGCGTTGTTTGTTCCGTTTCCACTCTGCAGAGTCTACGCGCCACAAGCTCTTCGACGAACACCGAGAAGTTTGTACCGTTGCAGGTGCAATTGTTGATGATATTTGTGTGAACGATGCCTTGATTATTCATTGCGACAATCAGGGTCACCAAGCGGTCTCTGATTATGGGGAAGATGTTAGCTCACGGCCTTCTTCTCGTGCGAGTGTGCGTTTGCTGCATATTGAGGTTGAACCCGCACTCACGTATGAGGATACACTCATCTGTGCCATGCGGTGCGTGTACAGAGACGTCCAGAGGGTTAATATACCCGCTTCTGCGATCGTCGTGGCACAGTTGACGCGGTCTAGCTCGTAGTGGTACTTCTTGAGCGTGGTCTTGCGTCTTCAGAGGGCATTGAAGACCGCAGATACGGAAAGTGGAATCTCGTTCTCTTTCAACAGCTGGCATACATGCGCCGAATTGTCTTCCGAATGTAGTTCAATGGTTTGTCCATGCGCTGTAGGGCATGGGGGTTCAGCTGCACATTTTCACTGCACCGCTGCGCTGAGTAATAGTATCATCTCAACTGAGGCCATCGAGGACGTTTCTTGCTATGTTCTCGTTGACATCGGCGACTTCAGCAGCATCGTGATTTTGTCGTTGACGAACACAAGCTTGGTAAGGACCTGTTTCTGCGTCAGTTACGTTCGCTTGCACCGTCGCTACTTCGGAGATGCGTTTTCTCGTCGTTCGTTGATCATTTTGATCGGTTCATGCAGCAGTAGACTAATAAAGCTAGGTAAGGTTTGAGGGAGTCATAACGACCTACACTGTTCTCATAAGCGAGTAACTGCACAGCTTCACATACATACACGCACGCAGACTACGTAAAGGCCGATAGGGAGTTAAGGGAAAAATAGGTCACCGCCTTTGATCGAGGGGAACAACGCTCATGGTCAAAGGAAAGGATTACACTGGCGTCCACTGCTTGCACAAGTGGGGTTACATTAGCCTGACCGCAATGGGGCCTGAACATCATCCAATTGCTTTACCCATTCAGTCTAAAGTGGAAATTATATATGTATTGTTGACATTGAGAGTGGGATGATAGTATGTCCAGTAGAGTATATGAAAAACTAGTGGCGTGCCGCTGCATTGCCAGAATCGACGCAAGTGTTTTCTACGGAGGATCAGTCGAGGACCGAACCAAGCCAATGGATACTTGTGGTGATCTCTCTGGGTTCATCGCTGGCCGATTGCCACAAGACGTCAACTATCACATCAGGGTTCAGTGTGCCTGAAGGCGGTGCACAGTTTCAGCAAGAGCCCCAACTATAGTCCATGCGTCAGGCGATTTGCCGTAACTTCCCATTTAACTGAGCTACTGAGGAGATAAAACAACCTCATTGTGAATTTATGTCCCTTGGAATCAGAACGATACCTGAACTATCGATATTTGGGAACAGCGTGTTACGATTGTGGGAATCGCATCCCGTGAGGTAAGCGATAACCAAAAACCGCATTTAACGCTGTTATGTTTGCTAGCGTTGATTGATGTCGCCAAACGGGTTATACACAGACAATTACTTAGCGCTGGAGTTTAGAACGAAGCGCGTTCTGTCCTGACATGTGGTGATTACATCAGCGTGTCCGGATGCCTGAAAGTAATATAGGGCATACTTAGTTCGACAACCGCGAGAAGGCAATAGGTGCCAGTGTTGGGATGAGCAACACTATAATGTTTCCATGCAATAGATCCTAGTTTAGGAAATGCGGCACATTCAGAGTGCCAAATGAGTCAAACAGTGATGTTTGAAGCTAAAACCAGGGAATAACACCGTTTGCAGTGGTTCATCATCAGACTAATACAACCACAGGTAAGGGGAGTAGAACAGACACATGAGAATTAAACGTGGTGAGTTACGGGACCGAAAGGTCTACTCAATGTGGCTACGTGATTGGTCTAGGCAATGCCAATTCTGGGGGAATGGGGTGATCACCATCGTTAGTCATGGTGACGTGGGGCCAGCAGCTCGCCTTGTAAACGTTAACATCATGGGCATTGAGCGGTGAAACGCAGGAAAACTTCTTCATGTACTATGGTGCAAGAGACAGTATTCAGGACAACAATGATGATGGGCACAGTAAACCGACGCAACGTGCTTGTCTCGCAACAGGTGATTAAAATACCTGCGAAAACATGTTGTGTAGCACAAGGGCCGATGGTAAAACGTGTTGTTCAAGCGAAACAAAGCTGCAGAGTAAAACGCGTGACGGATAAATGGGATTGAATCGAGTAATGTGAATCGTAACGTGAAGAAGAAACACTCGAAAGAGTAGTGCTGATTGGCGCTGGCATAAGCTGACTTCTATGTTCAAAATAGGCACCAAAGATTTTGACTCACTTTCCTGGAGGCGACGAAAGATCAGGAGTGGGACTGGAACGAAATTGACTCTTAGGTTTCTCATTAACGCCAAGATCCCCGTCAGGACCCGGTTGCACAAATGTGTCAACGATTGAATTTGAGTGCACGATGATACGTGTCGCCAAAGCGGAAAAACGCAACGCGTGTAAGGTCTCATCGAAAAGTTCAGGGTTCGGTGATGCATTGACGATCATACAGGCTTTACCACGACCGGTAAAAAAGCCTTGGAATAGCCGTGTTAGTTTGGAGTCTCTGTAGGGAACAAGCCTCGGATTGTCCGGATGAGATTGATTGTAGCGTAGACATTCAATGCATCTGAAAACGTATACGACATATAGAACGGTTGATGAAGACCACTAGCGGAAATCAGCTGTTTGGAAGCTTCTTTGACCACATCATAAGCTAAGGAAAAAGCATCAACCAACTCACCTGCCTAAAGTAAGTAAGCTGGTGTTGATAGTTCCAGCTTCTCGAAGGCGGGCGGCTTGCCCTCCTGTTTCCGCTTTCTCAGATCTTTCACTGCCAGCTAAATCACAGAATGTTAAGCTGCTTATTCTTGCGAATTTTGGATTATCTTTGTCCACAACACGCACCGCTTTGATAGTCAGAATGGTATGCGAACGTGAGCTCGCTTCGTTCAGACGGGTTGCAGCGACTCTTTGAAACTGCCGACCGACTAGTATGAGACGGAGAGCTTCCTCCGGAGAACTCAGCGGAAACACATTGAGCCCTAGTAAACAAAAAGAATGAGCAGTAACGAAGCAGGATAGGAAGAAATTATTGAGGTCTATTGAAAAAAACGGATTTTAGTGGCCAGGTAAATGGCATACGTGGACGAGGAGATCCGTTAAAACGAAGGTTGACTATCTTGCGTAACGAAAGATCCAGTAGAAAACCAGCTTAATAACGGTAAAAAGAGACCGCCTCTCGTAAAATCCACGACCAAAGCTAAAGGCTCGTTTCCCGCGATTCCCTGAAGATGCAGAAATATCGCGGAATTTATAAATTTCGCGGTCGCAGAAAAATTATAAATTTGTGAAGAAAGCCACTTTGAATTCGGGTTTGTTATAATCAATACTATCGACAGGTTTTAACTTTTGCAGACGTAATCACGGAAAATGAAACAGCATTTAGGAGGAAAAATCGCCCTGAACAAGAAACCATTGTTTTTCTTCGTGTGAAGTGCCTGTGCATCCATCTCGAAGATAAACTGTGGTTGACCATGTCCGCAGCTAGAAGCATCTTCAGTAGAAACCTCACAGGGAGTAACAAGCATCTAAACTTGTTGCCAAATGGCAACCAGCTCCAAAGAAACCTCGTCAGCCTCACCGCCGTTGAAAATGCTGTTATGGAAGCCCGCGACACAGTGGCATCTGACTTCCTACTGGCTATGGTATTTGCGAATATGCCTATAGCCAAGGCCGACAACGCCGAGTTGGGTGAATTTCTTCACGGACACGCACGAAATGATGGAAGCATTGCCAGCTCTAACAAGCTACGTCTGAAAATTCACAAGCTACAGGGAAAACACGAACAGATATTGAAAGAGATGTCCTGTGATACCTTTGTCAGAGCCATAAAAGACGAAACAATTGATGATCTCGGGAAGATGGTACTACACGGCTCGTTATGCTCACCGCTGAAGTCCAGCACGGAGAGTCTGCGAGCATACCTCATCGACGCGGTCAACTCGGAGAGAGTCAATTCTGACAAAGTTGAAAGAGCTATTCTGTACAGCTTGACAATGATGGGTATCGACTTCAGTCGTGTGACGATTTTCGTGTGCGATTGCGCAAAGTATAGGACAGCATACTACCGAGATGTCATTAGGCCTATTTGTGAGGATTCAGTTCACACAACTTATGTCACCCATTGTGCCAATTCGATTGCAATGACCCTTGGCAAATTCTCTCCGGAAACAGACGGATCCGCTGTAAAAATGAACAGTGTTTTTCGTCTTTCGGGAAGAAAAAGGCGTGGCTACATTGATTACCTAACTCAGGAAGGTGTGGATAAAATGACTGGCCACCTGCACCGGTCATCACCTGATGGAAGCTATCGCACATCGCATTGCGAATTTTCACCAGTAGCCAGCAATGCTGCAAGCTGTACAACATGAGTTTGGAAACTCAGCTGGTGCTTATAAACCCGTGGATCTTCTAATCAGTGAAACAGCCCAAGAAGCTTGGAAGTGGCAACTGAATTGCATTGCAACTGTTGACAAAACATCAACAATCGCTTGAAAACTGCCGAATCACAGTCTCCGGTAACTCATAAGATTTACAATGACCTCTCCGATTTATTCATGTTGCTAAAGACTGTCGCTGAGGAAAACTGATCGCTACATTTGCAGGCAGAGGGACTGACATTTGATGAGTAATACAAAATCTAAAGTGCTATGCAACTCTGCTTCTCCTAAGTTGCCGAAAAAGCCCAGAGGCTCGACGGCAGTTTCTGCAAGCCATTAGAGTGCTCGACCCCAGCCAGCTCATCAGCTTTCTCAGTAATCCATGCAGCTATGCCGAGGTTTCACTACTGGTAGGCTCCCCATCTCTGGCAGCTGAATGGCTAATCCATCGAAAAGTGATGGAAGAACTGCATGGAGAGAAATGTGAAGACACGCTGGCATTCTGATGCAGGAAGCATGCAAGAATTCCACTACTGGCAGATATTGCTGGCAGCTATCGATACAATCCTGTGAATTCGGTAGGTGCTGAACGGAGTTTTAGTGCCAACAAAAATGTTGTCTGATAAACGTCAAAACCATTGAGATGATAGCGCGAAACACCTTGTTGCGCTTTAGCATAATTCCTCTGTATTGAATCATAACTGACATGTATATAGTGGACGAACGTGCTTGGGTTTCTTCTTATTATAGTTTTAGCAGGGAGTTCGGAATTCTATGTTAGCACGGCAGAAATTTCGCGTATGTTTCAATTCAGATCGCGGAAAAAATGTTTTACCACCGCAGAAAACGAGTGGCTATAGCATATGGACACCGTATACCGTTTAACGTAGCACCAATGTATTATATCGAAACACAGCCAAAGACCCTTAGACTGAAGGGACCATGTCTCCGTCACAGGACAGTACGGTGCTCCGGTGATTGTGTAAACAAAACAATCAAGAGAGATCTGCAGGTGGAAAAAGTACTCGGACTTATGGCAATTGCGACTGTTGTTGCATGTGAGCCATGTTCGGGAGTTATATGATGATCGCTGCGACCGTCAGGACATATACGATATCGCTTGCCAATGGGTCATAGCATAATATAAAAGCACATTTGTGTGACTGCTTCTTAGTTTTGGTGAGGCACCGTTCATTTGAGTATGAGCAAATTTCGTGTTTCCTAAACTGAATACGTGTATCAAAGAGATTTGTTTCCCAACTCCGGAATGCACAGAGTTTGGGAGTCGAAGGAGAAACAGGATAGAGCATTTATAACAGTCAGACCACTTTCCATTGAAGTTATCCAGCAGTGTATGTAGTAGTGGTCCAACTAGTTTTCTGAGAGCAAGTGTAGAGTAAACTTAAGTCCTCTGAGTTTCACGAAAAGTTTCGAACCAGCGCAACTAAACAACGGTTTCAGCGGCAACGCAAGGAGACAGTTGGTGCATTTTTGGTCGATGGCTTATTCGTCTTATCGGGATGACAATAAATTATGTTGAGAAAGTATGAAGGTAGAAGGAGGCATCCCAAAAGGAATGTGAAGCATTCCGGTTGGCTTTAAAATCACTCATGTGAGATTACGCAATGAGAGAGGATGGGACAAACTCGGTTCAGTAGGGGTGGATTTGAGCAACTATGCGAAAACTTACTTTCATTTGCGAAAATATAGCGTATCTCATTGGGCGTTCAACAACGAACGGTGAAGTGTCAACATTTTCGATATAAACAAGAACAACACATCAGTAAATTGAACTGAAGCTTCGCAGCCGTACAACCACAATGACCTAGGGAATGAAGGACAATAAGTATGAAAAAGTGTAATCCTAGTAAAAAACCATAATGCCCCAAGCAAGGATTCGGAGACAAGACGGCACCAATGAAAACTTCTTCCTCACGGCTCTTGTTGCCCAGTGTCACAATCAATCATGAGATACAGATAACGCGGCATCAGGCAAACTGTAAACGCTAAATCGGACTGAAAGATGCAGGATGTGCGCCTCTAGTGCGGACTGCGAGTTTTTCATGTAAACAAAAGGTGGGACTCTAGCCTGGAGGGCGAAAAGAACCAAAAGCCCCCAATTTAGTCGTCAGCGAATTCACTTCCCCTTGTCAAATCAACTTTTACTGGCCTAGAGAGTGCGTCATCCAACATTTAAAGAACGAAGTTAGACTCTCCTTGATAATTATTGCAACAAGAGTGGACGTTAATGCGATGCGATGTTTTGGATGTCTCAGTAATCTATTGACCTATGATGAGTGGTGATTTCCGCACCTTCAGAGCCACGCAAACCAGACTGATCAGTCGTTAAAGCTCAACCAAACAGCCAAGCGGTCAACCATCTTGGGGGTTGAAGTAAGGGTGTCTCCTTACTCCCTAAACGGATTCCGTGTAGCCCACTGCGCTGTAGTCGGGTTCTTGAACCGATGGATTTAGTTGCGAAGACTAATCGCTCTTTAGTCTAGACCTAGGTGACCTGACCAGTCGTAATGACACTTAACCTTAACGGCGTAGGACGGTTTGCGCACCTCCTGGACTCATTGAGCTATACTGGGTGATGTCCCAGGGCCTGTTGAGAGCTACTCCTACCAGGTTAGTCAGTGGTTAAGGGTCAGACAAACTCAGTCTCATGGTCCTCCAGCTTGAGGGTTTGAAATGGGATGGTATCCATTCTGTAAAACTAAATCACTGTTACCTCCCCGCTCCTTGCGGACAGGCTTTTGAACTAAGGGCTTCGGTTGAAGACCCTAATAGTCCTCCTTTCTAGTTCCGCGCCCCCTTGAAGTATCTCAGCCCACATATAACCGGGACTTTTTCTTCAAACATAAACTTCATCCTGCATTGACTGTCGCGCAGCTTATCAAGGGCCACCTTATCTGCTGCAAACAACAGTGCGGATAAGCGAAAATCTGTTACATCTGGCATCTCCCTTCTTTCTTTTCGCCTGTTTCTCTTACTCCCACCCCGACCCTCATTACTAACCTTCCAACTATAATCCAGCTTAACTGACAGCAGCAGCAGCAGCAGTGCAACTGGTTTAGAACCAACTGCAGGCATCTTCTCGCGACACCCACTGGACGCCTATTGGCAACAGTCCCTAGAAGGCCACGCTGTCCTGTTTCGTTGGCGGCGTTCAACGTTCGCAATCTAAGACAAATAGAGTCAACAAGCTGCACTCGCACGCGTGCTAAACACACTGCGCAACGAAGTATGTTATGTGTCCGAAACCAGGATCAATGACCCTAATGGGGTTGTTAAATAAAATGCGCCGGGAGTGTCCTCACCCTATTGGTCGCATGCATCCGGAGACGCAGATGCAGCAGCCTCTGACCAAGCTGCGGTAGGTATCATTATCAGCTCCATGGGCTGAGCTGTCGCCGGTTGATTGAATTCCGGTTAACAGCCGTTTTTGTGCTGCCCACTTGACGACATCGATCAAGGTTGAATCACGAAGCAGTACAAAATGCTGTTTGTTTGCGATTTCCGCTTATGATCCCACCGACTGCAGTTCTAATACAAGCGGTGTCAGGGTCTACGGTGACTTGCTGGATAGCTTTCCGACA